AAAAGTTACAGAAATGGTACTAACAGCTGTCTCGCTTAGCGCTCAGCATGGAGAGGTTAGTGTTATGACTGGTCAACCTGGTGCCAGGATAATGTGACTGGGTGGGACATCATGCCCCAGGGCTAGCCATCATGCCCCAGGGCTAGCCATCACTATAAACTGCTACACTTATGTAACGCCAGGGATAAACACACTGTAGACTTCGTAGCGATATGACTGATTTTTTTAAAATCACACACACACACACACACACACACACACACACACACACACCATAAGGAAGAGGGTATTAGCATATAGCTAACATACAGGAGTTCACTGCATATGTGGGAAAAAGAAGGAATTCTGCAAAGAAACCAAGTAGTTTTGGGATGCCTATAAAACGTTCTCTATGGTTTCCATGACTTCTACAGGTCATAGGTGGTGGAATGCCCAGTAAAAATTCAGGACAGATGATGTTTCAAAATATTGTACTTGCAGTTACAGTTGTAAGAAAGAAAAGGGGGAAAACGAGAGAGAGAGAGAGAGAGAGAGAGAGAGAGAGAGAGAGAGAGAGAGAGAGAGAGAGAGAGAGAGAGAGAGAGAGAGAGAGAGAGAGAGAGGCCGCGTTAATGCGTACCAAAGTAAACAAAAATAAGGATATTAGTTCTGATGCTGTTCTCTCTCTCTCTCTCTCTCTCTCTCTCTCTCTCTCTCTCTCTCTCTCTCTCTCATGATTATCTTTTGTACTAATTCAACATTAGAATCAGATGAAATTCATTGTGTATTATGATTGATTTTATGTTCCATACCATTTAACGGATAACCGAATTACCAAATAAAGTTCTCAGCAAACATTCTTTCTGATAGCACATTAAAGAATGGTTTCTAACAATGCAATTAAAACGGCATACCATACGAGCATAGGCTAACCAGGCACTGCGTATCTCTCAAGATCAGACAGTAGTATCGGATTATCGCTTTGTTTCACGTTCAGGGTGCATTGCGTATCTACGAGGATCAGACCGTAGTATCGAGTTATCGCTTTGTTGCACGTTCGGGGTGACGAGATAAAGTCTTTTAATAAGGAGCAGAATTATACTACTAGCAGTGGCCTATCAAGAATTCTGCCTCCCCTCCGGTGGCCTCCTCGCAAAACTTTATTTCTGGCCTTACTTGTGGGGTTGCTTGGGCGGTTGCTAGGTAACTGTGGCTGATCGTCGTACATTCATTGTTGTAGATAAAAGCTATTGTTTATGAAATGTCGTGATAATTAAGTCTTATTTAATTTGATTCCAGCTGATTTGAAGCGTGTGAATTTTGCCGTTTGTGACTTGTAACGGTCGCCTTTTTATGTATCAATTAAACACCGTACAAATACATTTTTGTATTGTGTTTTTTGCTGCTATTTTTGATATGATTATGATTTTTTAACGTAGCTTTAACAATTTTTCAGTCATATAGCTACGATGTCTGCATTGTGGCAGTTTATAGTGATGTCTAGCACTGGAACATCATGCCGCAGACATGTAGCATGATGTCCCAATCAGTCACATTGTCCTGACACCAGGCCAACCAGTCCTAACACTAACCTGCTAATGCTGAGTGCCAAGAGAGGCAGTTGTTAGTGCCATTTTTGTAAGTCTTTGGTATGACTTTAACCTGTTTGAAATGCAACAGTTACAAAGTTAGTCTGGACCAATGTTGCAATTGTGGCAGGAAAACGACTTCATTACTCGTGATAATTACACGAAAAAATACGTGAAAATATTACAACAAACGAAAGCACGAAGATAGGCTTTACCTGCTTGAATCAAGTTACTATTTTGTATTAAGCTACACGTTTTGGTCAGTGGGTTCCTGATCCAATAATGAAGGTTTGTTCGAGAAAGTTTAAAACTCACAAACAATTTTTCATGTCAGTGTCAGAAATTTTAAAATAAGTATTTAATAGTAAGAATGAATTCATGTTTCGGATCAAGGCAAGCTAGCATCCAGGGAACCAAGCAACTAAAATATGGAGATGTCTTCAAGAGATCCCATATAAAATAACTTTGGGGTGTGGGTATTAAGACTAATTACATAAAATTGTATTATTTTATTAAAACTATTCAGGCATTATATTGCCACATATTTTTTCTGGGATAATATCCAAATGTGCAAAATTCATATTGGATAAGCAAGGTAAGTTCAAGATGGGACAATTCTGAGAAAATTTGCGATAATCGTCATCGGTCAATGTGGGTATGTGAGAAAGCTGCTAGTAGCTTCCCGTGGGTTGGTGGTTCTTACCGGGGTTTTCCAGGGTTCTTTCTCCACCAGATTTACTGGCCACCATGAATAGCTTATCTTGTGCTGAGAAATGGCGTTAAATACAACAACAACAGACTAACTTTTCCAATGGCACTTTTCAATCTGATTACTAAACAAAAACAACTACCACACCAAAACACACGCAATAACTTTTTAGTAAAGATTATAGTTCGTTGATTACTTTTCTATATTCTTGAATGGGATCATGTCTCGTGAGAAACAGATAAATCTGGGTACTGGAGAAGAGCGAGGCACGGTCTATTTCTAGTCCCGATAATAATAATATTCATTACTTAGTTTACCCCAGACTTTATTTAATACTTGAGACAAAACTTAGCTTTTGTAAGATTCTGTTTCCAGATGAATCATTTAGGCAACAAATTATGTAAATGCCAAATATTTATAGGAAAAATATTGAATATATTTAAACCCATAGGAATCGCAATGGGGTTCAAAATTACACTTCAGCAATTGTTTTATCTTGGCAAACTGTCTATTGTCTCTATGATAATCATACTATTCCAACGCTAGTGCATGGATGCATACGTTATGACTCATTTACTGTTTTGTGAATACCAAGTTTAGCATACATGTAAAAACAACAACGAGAAGGACGACAACGATTGCAATAATAATATCACAACAACAACAAGGCATGCACGCGAGTAGTGTATGGGGACGATATAGGGATTTATTATCATTAAAGACACATCTGGGACGATATAGGTACAAGATTTATAGGGACACAAAATCAGCCTGGGATACTATAGGCACAATAGGAATTTTGCATTAGGACATTTGGGTCTGTATAGGGACATGTGAAATGGCACAGGTTGGATGACGTCACAATACCGGGCATTGGTAACAATGTAGAGAGAGAGAGAGAGAGAGAGAGAGAGAGAGAGTTGGTGTGAGCCACAGAAACATAGAATATACATATTGATGTATGGCAAAATTTTGAAAACGATTATCTTTTCGAGGAACTGGAAGTGGCCCTGAAAAGGGCCGTTGTTTGTTATGTTAACATAATTCTGTTAATATGCAGGACATCGAATAGCTCTTCTTTTCTTCCTCAAATTTCTTAACGCTTGTCTTAAACTCTATCTCACTTCTGGTCCGAAGATGAGAGTCCGCTTCAGACAGCCTTGTCTTTCCACATAACATCTTCTTTTCCAAACAGGTGCACTGGTAATCAGGATGACAGTCAATTTTGTTTTCACATACATGGGTAAGTCCCTATCGAAAAACAATGACGATACCAAAGTAAAGGATTTAACATCGATCAACATCTTTGTGACGAGAACAGGTGAAGCGAATGAAGTGAACCGCGTTTATTTATAAGGGAAGAATTCGGTCACTTCGCGGAGTTTGTCTCTAATCCGAAGAGAGCTACCAGTGACGTAACTTTCCCAAAATAGGTACAATAGCGTTTGTGCTACATTGTTTGGTGAAACATGAGTGAACCTAAGAAAATAATGAATTTGCTGTGGAGACGAAAAGCGATGGTATAGCAGTGACTGCTAGAGTGAACATAGTGCAACTTCCCGAAGAGATTGATTTCAACTTGGATTTAGGAGATTTTCTCTCTTTGAAAGAATTTGTTCCTGCAGCAACACCATTGCCACTTTCTTCTTCTTTACTACATGTTGACAATTTTGGACAGAAACAGCAAAAAGAATTAGAGAAATGTTTACAGCAGTAGAATGAGGCAGAACAAGCATTTCTTCTTGAGCAGCAACAGCGAGAGGAAGAAGAGACGAGAAGGAAACTACAGGAAGAAGAAGCAACAGAGAAGACACGAAGTCTAGGAAAAAGGAGAACAGTAAAAGTCAAATTATCAAGGTACTCTGTGATAGTTTGGCCGAGTTAAATAGTCTGAAACAAATGTATCAGACTTTATTTTTACGACCTAAGAGAAAAAGACCTTCCCGAGCCAAACAGCATAACCCTGTGATTACAGCAGAGAAACCATCTTTAGTGATTTCTAGGAAATCATTGACAGGTGCAAGTCCACAAGTAAGCCTTGGCCGTGGCAAAGGCTTTAGTCAGTCAAAACGGATTGCTTCTCGTTCCTGAGTTTGTTCTCAGTAAGAAAACCAAATGGCCAACGGTTCTTTTCAGAGCCACCCATTTCTTTCGAAAAGAGTAATATTCATTTTGTCAAAATCAATGAAACCTCATAGTCCCTTGTATAACGCTAGTATGTATGTATGTATGTATGTATGTATGTATGTATGTATGTATGTATGTATGTATGTATGTATGTATGTATGTATGTATGTATGTATGTATGTATGTATGTATGTATGTATGTATGTATGTATGTATGTATGTATGTATGTATGTATGTATGTGTGTGTGTGTGTGAGAGAGAGAGAGAGAGAGAGAGAGAGAGAGAGAGAGAGAGAGAGAGAGAGAGAGAGAGAGAGAGAGAGAGAGAGAGAGCGTGATTGTAGACTCTTATTTATAAAAAAAAACAGAAGACACTTACGTTTTCTTTCTGTCTGGTCTCTTTTGGGATAAATATTTACCGTCCAAATCACAACAAAACACAACACTTTTTAAAAACGTTCATAGGTTTATTCTGTGTCTCTTTTTGGTTCACTCGCTGTTTTTGTTTTCCCTTTACTTTCACAGTTCCTACCTCTTCTTCTTTACCCTTTTTCTCACCTAATTCTTTTCTTTTTCAAAGTCTCAGAGTTTCCTCT